GCTGTGCAGAGTGGGAGGTGCAGCTGGTGTGTTTGCCAGTTTGTCTTGTTTTAGTATTAGTAGTTTGTAGTAAATGCAATTTATTAAATTAAATGTTGGTTGAAAGATATTCTGATAACAAGTGTGTTCTTGTAGGATGATGAGCTGCAAACTTCAGTCACACAGGTAGGGATTCAGCCAGTCCTCAAAAACTCACTGTCCTGTAGGTCTCTCCCCATCAACTAGAGCAAATAGTGGGAAGGATAACGTGACTTGAATCCTCTGAGAAAAAATACACTGGTCAAACTGGAACTCTGACTATGTGCACAAGACATCTAAAAATCCTGGCATCCCTGAGGCCTACCAATGCCTCAGGCAAATGACAGTTCCTCAGCAGCCTGGAATGGTCCCACAGTTGTGCTGGTCTATTTTCTGTGTGTGCTGCAGAAACCCAGAGGTACAGATATCTTATCCCCAGTGCTCTGAGGTACTGGTGGTACCATCAGTGATGGGCATGCCAGTCTGGTGTTTGGAGAACTCCACTGACTCTCCCACACCTGAACAGGGTTGAACACTCAGTACCTCTTCCCGAGAAAGCATTTCACCCTTGTTCTGGGTGGCACGAGGTAATCTGGGAGGCACAGAGGTCCTGCACATGGGAACATGTGCTGCTGGCAGCAGTGAGTCCCTGGGAGAAGGTAACAGAGAACAAAAGGACATTTAGCCCTCTAGCTGGTGGCCATGATGTTCACCTGGGGTTCAGTCCCACTTTGGAGGGGTGTTGTGGTCCATCTAAGGATGGATCTGTCTACTGCATTTGCAATTCACTACAAGGACCTGGTAGGTGATTGTTTGATGAAGGGGGTTGTTGGAAGTGGCTGCCTGGGACAGCGGGGGACCAGGCTCAGTGCAGGAGGGATCCTCCAGTGCTACAGTCAGCCTTGCGTGAGACTTTGGGTCCCAGCAAGTGTGGTGTGCCAGAGCAGTGTCAGTATGCTGCATTGAGGTCCAGCAGAATGTCTGTTTATCAGACATTCTGTTATGTATGGAAGATGAGTGGATCTAGGTACAGCTTCAGAAACAGGTTTTCATGCACCTGGAGAGCCCTTGCAGGCAGGAGCTAGCCCTGTATAAATGGGATTATTGCTTATAGCTTCTCACTGGAGCGGGGTTTCCGAGATTGAGGAGAGCTTCTTGACAGAAGGTATGTGAAATCTCATGCTACTGCTACTAGTTTCTCTTCTTCCTTTATTTCTCAGTGCTGTTTAACAAGCTTTACATTTGCCAATGGAAAAAAAATGCATTAGAAAATGGCATCTGCCGCTTTCTGTGACTGCTCTGCTTGCCTGCAGCTTGCCTGCTCTTTCAGAAAGCTTGAGTTAAGCTGCCAGAAGTTCCTCTCCTCATGTGGTGCTGTTTTGGTGATTTTCTTTCCTTCCGCAAGCCTATGGATGGTGCTGCTAATTCACTTACAGCATTAACCTGGCCAGAGGCTGTCCCACTCCTTCCTCATAGAGGCAGAGTCAGAAGATGAAACTCCTGAGGTTAAGTAAGTGACCTGGCAGTTCTGTTCAGCATTTCTATCTTGCTCTGTGGTGCATAGATGGTGGCTGGCTTTTATGCAGCTGATTAGAAGAAAAGTGTTTAGAGAAAAAGCCTGCATTAAGGCTGGCTGCTACTATCAGTCTGTGTGATGAGAGAAATACCGGCACCACCGCTGTGCCTGCCCTCCAGCCCCCCGGCCAGGGACAGGGGCAAGCCGGGCCGTGGTGCTTTTCCTGCCCGGCGCTGGAGCCTGCGAGTCCCACACACTCTCTGCGAGAAGAAATATCCCTGCAGTGAGCCCTGGACCGTGCCCCACCGTGCCCATGTCCCTGCCCCGTGGTGCCAGATTGCATGTTTGCGTTTAGAAGCCTGAATCCCTTCAGTGGTCTCACCACCACACTGTGGACCCAGCTCAGCCCTCACACACCCTTCAGCAACACTGCTTTGCCGGAGCAGCCTCTCCACCTAACCAGCCTGCAGCTCGCTCTCGTCGGTGCTGCTTGTGCCGACTCTGCGGGTGAGGAGCTGGAAGGCAGCAGTCCCTGCCCGGCGCTGGGGACCCCCCTGCTCCCCGGCCTGGCGGGGAGAGGTGCTGGGCCAGAACCAGTTGTACAAAAGGATGCACCCCGTTCCTGCTCTCACTGGCATTTAGGGATACGTATGCCGCAACTCTCATGTTGACTTTAGCAGTGTGAGAGTTGTTTGCGCTTCAATCTGAAAGATAAATGAACTTCAGTTTTAAAGCTAAGCTAACTGGCTTTTGGTAAATTTTCACATAACATGGTACTGCTTAGAGGCTTTCTTTTGCACATCTCTTGCACTTCTGCAGAAATAAACACGCAGGCATGAGCATGGTTTCAGGGACACAGACCAAGGCTTCCTATTGGTTATGGGGACAGGAAAGAGATATCATGCTCATCTCACATTGCCTGAAATTATCTTGCTACAAGATAAGCAAATCTTTGCCTAGAGGAAATAATTTTCCCAAACTTACAAAGGACTTCCTTAAAATGTGCATCCTGCTCATTTCTCATGCTCTCAGATGCTCAGCTATAGACTTGGAAGGGACTTAAGTAATTCCTAAGTGGAAAGATCATTGGTGGGAGACCCTTTGCAGCATGTTGATTTTAAGAGGTGCAATAAATTATTATAATGGGTGTGCTGATCCTACAGGCTGTTCCACGAGATGAGGACAGATACTGCATTCATGACCTGCACTCTAATCATTCTGACAGTATCTTACCCAGGGATGCTTACTGCAACTAAGAGTTATGATTTTTTAATAGGCATTATTCATAATTTAAAGATGTAACTTAAAGACATTACAGACTGCTGCCAGAGTTGTGATGTACGATCTGCAGAGGTTTACTCCCTGTTAGATATTACTGTAGAAGTGACTTAAATCTCCTCCCTCAGTTAAACAATATTCTAAATGTCATCACTGTTTACACTATTAGCAGAGTATTCAGTAGCAATGATCTGTGCTCTGACAGTCCATGAGCCCCTACAAGCAGCCGACAGATTTACACTTTGGTGAAAACTGCCTCATTATCTCCAGCAGCAAATTCCTTTCATAAATAGTCTTGTGTGCTCAAGCTGCAAATGGAGTTTGCATATCCTGTAACGAAATCTATTTCCTAAATACTCTCCTAAGTGTTTTAACATCCCTGATTTGTTCTGCTTCCCAAAGGCAGGTGCACCCAGGCACTGGTGGCAGCCAGAGGCACTGGTGTGCGGCGCAGACCCACGAGCTGCGGAGCGGGATGGGTTGGTGGCTGCTGCTGTGCTCGTCTCGATGCACCGTAGGTATAACGGGAACGTAACGGGGGAAAGGGCAGCGTGTTGCTACAGCAAAGCAGGCCCATGGTCCATCTGCTTAGATGGGTCTTTAGCAAATAGGGAGCTCCAAGCACCTCCTAGGCAGGCTGGGGAGCCTTGCTTTTAGCTGTTATGGCTAGTCTGCATTCCTGTGAGGGTTTCTCCTAATCCCAACTGGTTTAAACTGGGGAACGTGTCATGTTATATGATTTTCGCACACTTAAGATCATTAACTATTAAAACTCTGTTATTCTTGTTATACAGATAATCGTTCTTGCCCTGGATGTCCATCTGTAGCACTGCTTTCCTTGGTCTAATTATGTGTTCCCTGAAACAGCTCTCCCTGGCACCAGCTCTGTGTTTGCTGCTTTTAATGTCATTGATTGTTCATATGCTCTGAGATGGGAAGGACGGGAGCTCCTGATCTGCCTTCCCTCTGATCTTCCTGACTTGCTGCACCTTGGTTTTGTTCATTCTTTGCTGTTGCTTTGTTTGTCTGTTTTTTTCCTGATCTGGAAACAAAAGCAGACAGCAGAAAATGCAAGGGGGAAGATTGCGGTTGTTTCTAAAAAGAACTAAATCCTGTCTAGCATCGACTATGCAGTAACGGTTTCCAGTGTGGCTGAGGTGAACACGATTCATCTGGGAGGATTTTTTCCTGTGAGATCCATAGCTCCTGGTTAGGCCTGGCCCCTTCCAGTCCCCAAACACCAAAACACCCTTCATTCCCATCTCCTGTCGCTGAGTTTGGGGGTCCCCTGCCATTCCTCCTCCTGCCAGGGACAAGAAGGCAGCAGAAGGCACCGTGGCAGTGAGGCTGGCTGGGCACAGCAGGAGCAGCCCACGGGATAGGCTGGAGAGGCAGGGGTGTGTGGGGCAGCACGGGTGGGATAAGCCCTTGTTTCAAAGCACTGCTAGACATCGCCCTCCCTCTGTCCAGCCCAGGGCCATGCCCATGCTCCTCCAGCTCTGGTGTCAGGGAAAACACCTGGTTCCTGTTAGGTACTCAGTGCTCCTGCTGATGGGCGTGTGTGTGGATGAGAAGATGCAGGTCACAGCGATCAGGCATGGTCGAGTACCACAGGCAGTCCCATAAGCTCTCAGGGAGCCCCAGGGTGGGAAACCCATTGCCTGAGCAATTCAGAGAGTGGCTGTGAGTAGCTAAGGCACTCCTGAAACCAGCTTTGAAAGTCTTAGGGGAAGGAAGCTAGAAATACCTCTCTGTCTTTCCATTAATGCCATGGAACAATCACTGGTGGTTGAACAGCGTCAGTGCATTAAAAATGAAGCTTCCCTTTGTCTGGTGTGCTGTGCCGATGAGAGCAGTTACCCCGAGCCCGCCTTCCTGTAAAAAAGCAGCACTGCATTGTACATGTTTGATATTTCTTGCTTGCCACAAATGTCCTTTTTCTGTCTGTGTGTGAATGTTTAGCAACAGAAACTTGCAGAAGCTATCATCCATTTGCTGGCAGCTAGCTGATGATAGGTCCAGAATAGATGGAGCCATGTTGTACGATTCCAGAGAAGGGCTGGCCCTTGGCTCTGTTGTTTGTAGCACAATTCTTTGCATTCAACAAGGAAGGTACAAACCAGTTATAGATCAACTAATCTTACTAATCTTCTTTTAATGAATCTGTTTCAACAGAATTTCATTTCCACTTGCACAATCAGCCTGAAAAAGGCAGATAGTCCAGCAGAAAGAAATTACCCCAGCAGAAAAATCACTCTCAAGATCAGGCCTGGGAGACAGGAGACAAGCAAGCAAACCAGATGAACAAGGATAACAAAACTGGAAATTGAAGAACAGCTTATCCTGCCTTCTCTCCTAAGTTTCCTGAGTTGTTCTGCGTGTGCCTGCGTGAATGGCACAGAGGCAGCTGCTCCTAACAGGAACCAGTATCTCATCAGGACGGGTACACCGTCAGCCTGCCTCTGCATGTGCTGGAAAACATCAGGAGATGGAAATGGCTGTCTGGAATCTCTGGAGGTAACCACACATGCTGGGTGCTTTTAGTTCTGCTGCTTTCTAACGCTTCTCCTTTAGCCTTACCTTCCTACCTACATGCAGAGAGCTTCCCAGGAGCTGGTCCTGGGACTGTCTGTGTCATCAGATAAATCTCACTTGGTAGCTATAAGAGTCCTGTTACAGCTACGGTTTTTTTTTTTTACCAAAATCTTGAGCAATTTTTCTGTTTTAAATGTAGGAGCATAATGATATTTTTTCTGGATCTGTGGAAAGGGTTTAGAACTTAATGCTCGGTTAAGGCAGATTTTAACACAAGATTTAAAAGCTTAGAAACAGGATTAGAAACAGGAGGGAGCTTTAGAGCTTTGCCTTAGGGACAGGACCTATTTCACAGACATGGTTAAAGACCAGGACAAAGTCTGGGAGATACTGACGACAGTGGTGGACTCCCACTGAGCTCAGTGCAATCAGATTTTCACCATAAATTTCTCTGTAGGTATTTATTAACAGAGCACAGCTGGGCAAGTGATAATGGATTCTGCTACAGCTCTGCAAAGGATAAAACCAGAATGCAATAAAATATTTCCCCAATAACAGCAAATGCTCTGAATCCCATCCAGAAAAGGACTTGTGAGTTGCTTTATGGACTTTTGAAGTTGCTTTAGGTATTGCAGAAATTGGCCAGAGTACTTGTTGGTACTTTTAGTATTTCCACTCCTAGAAGCTGAACAGAAAAAGCCAAGTTTGATGCAGTTATAATCCCTCTTTTGTATTTGTTGTGTTATACAACCTCAGCCATGAGTCAGTCAGCCTATTTCTGCCTGTGTGTATGTTGCATAGCATCACCTCTTGCTCAGTCTGTGGTCTCTTAGCCATTTTCCAAGGTCAGCATGGACTGCAGCACTGTCTGTTCAAGCTGACCAGCAATGGACCAGTTTTCCTCCTGGACTGCCATGGATCCTTTGCAGTAGCCCACAGGCTCCCAGTTGCTATTTTCTAATTGCCAGTTGGGACCAGATAGGGTGGTGGTGTGGCTAGTGCAGGTAGGATGCATAGGAAGCCCGTGCAGAAAAGGGGGAGCAGCACACAGGGGTGCTGAGTCACGGGTGAGAAGAGCTTGTGTTCCTGGGGGACACGGGGAAGCACAGCCGAGAAAGCTCACGTGGTGGTGCAGGGAGCCCACCCTGTGGGCTTGGTTTCAGCTCGGGTGTCATGAAGAAAACAACTGAGCAAAAACCTCCAGATTTTTCTGGAAATGCTCCAGCCATCTCTCTTTGAAGATAACACAGCCTGTTTCCTCTTTGCTGCCTCATGTTTGCTAAATTACAGACTTGGCCTTCTGAAGGTGGACTAGGAATGTAGGGACCAGTAACTGGACCAGTCTGATAGAGCAGGAACAGATGGATAAGCTTCTCAGATCAGGGTCCTTCTGGTAACATTGGTACACTTGGCATTTGCCCCACCGAACTGTTGTGTTGCCCACCTCAGTGAGATGGGATTCACCTCTGGGCTTGGAGGAGCCACTGAAGTGCCCGAGAAGGGGTGAATTCACCGAAAGGGACCTCCAGTACTCACCAGGAATAGCAGAGAAGGGGAGGGATGTATGCCTTTTGGTGGACCCAAACCTCTGGCCGCTTGCGTGAGCCTCCTTCCAACCTTGCAAGCGTGCAGGAGATGCTTCACCAAAAATCCCCCTGGGAATTGCTTCATCTGACAGATGCCTGTGCACACACATAGATCTCCTGCAAGTGCTTAACATCAGGTTAGACTCAAAAACATAACATTCTTTGCAGACGCAGTAATCTGGCTCTGTGATTCATTTAGCTCATGACTTGGTGCTAGCATCAGAGCTATAGCAGTTTTGGGTCTAAGGAAGAACCACCCTATACATAAAAAATAATTTGTATTAAAGTGGCTAATTGGCATCTCAACACTTTATTATATCAATTTACAATCCCATTTTGTTTTAGAGTGGATTATGTGGGGTCGCTAATGCTGCTGCCTGCCTTCCTCTTCATGCTTTCTGCAATGGGCAGAAAAAACATGCTGCAATCAGAGGGATGGTCTCTGCAAATTACTTGCTAAATTGGACCATATTCTTGAAATGAACTTCAAAGTCAGCTGAACTGCTCTCCTGGCATTGCAAAATTGGAAATTATATCAGATTTCAAATCACAGGTGAAGAAAGCAAACTGGCGTGTTCTGAGGAACAGAGCTACAGCTGCTATATGCTGTGTTCATTAATGATCCCTGTCAGACTTTTCAGGAGTCACAATACTTTCTTGCAAGGGAGGATACTTTATTTTTGATGTAGAATGTTTTGCAATGAGCTGTAGAGCTTTCTCAATACGCTTGTATGACATTTAATTCTTCAATAATTCTCTTGCAAGAAGGAACGCACAAAGCCTGTTACAGATGCTGTTGACCACAGAAACACCTGGAAAGTAGGTTTTCTGCTTCCTAGGTTAAAAGAGGTGGATGATCTTTTCTTTTCTTGAAACAAGATACTATTTTTCCTGAAAAATTTAGGTCCCCTTTGAGTAAAGCAGTCTGCAGATTCCTGGAAAGGAAAAAAACCCTCAGAAGCTAAACAAAGGGAATTTTCAGAAGAGAATATAGTCCATTTCATCTTGAGATGGTTCTTATCTTCATCTTGTACTTTATTTTTATAGAAGAGCTTTAAAAACAACTTCAAGATCTGTATAAAAATGTGTGTTGTGTGCAATTAAGGGTTTGGGGTTTTTTCAAGTGGAGAGACTTTGTTTATATTCTGATTCATGTAAGCACTGGAGAAAATGTAACACGGGTAAGCTGTAAGCAAATCTGTCCTAAAGCGGCCTCAGCCATTACCTTCTGTTTTTACCCCAGATTTGGGTAGTCACAGAGCTAATCAGGCTGATGAAGAAAGAAAAGAGCCAGCCCAAAGGCAGTGAGGGGTGGCAGGGAGGGGCGGGGGGAGCTTTGCCCAGGGCAGTGGGGAGCAGCCCGGGATTCCCAAACCAAGATCCCAGGCTTGTCCTGAGCTAGCCGGGTGGGAACAGCATGGGGCCGTGGGAGACAGGGGCCACGGGCCCTACCTGTTTGCACAGGGTGTATGAACACCGAGCGGAACACACCAGTGGGTTTCAAGGAGAAGCATGAGCAGAAAGCAGCGCTGCCTCTGATGTTTTCGCAGAGACTGTGGACATTTTCCTCTTCGGCTCTCCTCTTTCTTGGGTCAGGGAAGGCGATCCTGCCACAGCTGTGTCCCCGGGCCGTGTCAGCCATCTACTGCCCGCTGGGGCACGGGGAGGGGGGGGGAGGCGAGGTGCCCTGGGCAGGGACTGGTGCTTACCGAGGGTGCTGGATGCATTTGTCACATGCTGAAACATGGAGAGACCTGTGGGATAATTTGTCTCTATATAAATATTTGTTAAGATGGCCAAACCCTCTGTGCTCAGTGAAGTCAGCAGAGCTGTAGTTACCCCAGAAGACAACGTGTCTATTTATAAGGAAAAGCAAAGCCCAACGTTTTCAACATTTTCATAGATTTGCCAAGGCATAGCAGCTTTGAAAGATGAGCTTTTTTAATGTAGATTCCCAGTTTTAGGCAGCCAAATTATTTTGCAGTTCCAAAGGTCACAATATTTTTAGGAGAATAACATCCCTGGCTATCATTTCTTTTATCAGAAACCTGTATAAGTAGTGAAAGCACTGATAGCCAGGTCTAGTGCCTTCCTTGTGAGAAAGTCAAGCTGAAGACCCATCTCCTGCTGCACGAGTCAGATCTGGTGGCAGAACAGGTCCCCCATGCCTCATTCCTAACCTACGAATGTTGAGCAGGGGCTCGCTTGATCACTTCCCATCTTTTTTTTTCCTGACTGTAGCAACAGCTTAACTAAAGCACCCACTGTTTTGTATATCCCAATAGCCTTTGTTATAAGGTGTGTGTATATATATGTGTATATATATATATATATACACATTCTACAATTCCTGTCCTCACCCACCAAGAATTGTTAAAGCAATGTACTCCCCTTTCCTTGGCTTTTGAAAGATGTAAAGTAAAAGAGCACGCTATAAATCCAACTCTGTACTCATAGCATACGTAGGAGGACAAATAATCATGTCTTGTCAAGCAAATGGCTGTTTAAATTATTTTTCCATCTTGACACATACTGAAATGTATGGCTCAATAGGTAAAATATGCATCTAGCCTAGAAATATAGTACATCTATTTTCAGATGCCAAAAAACACATGTTCACCAAGAAAACTATTAAAAAATTCATTTCCTAAGGACATCAGCATTAGCTATTGATGAGATTGAATACTGGATACTGAATTGCACAGGGAGAAAGGCGTGCACTATAAAAGGTGAGCTACAAGGCAAAGTTATTTCCTTAGGAAAAAGGCAAATGTCCCAACAGTCTTGGTGTAGGTTAACTAAATTCTACTCTATCTTCACATTTTGGTATGTAAAAATATGTATTTTTAAAAGGTCATATCTCTTATATGTTTAGAAACCAGTCTGTTGCTGCTTTTGGCTGCTTCTTTGGAAAGGTGCTGTAGCACAGGAACTAATTTTTAAAAATACCCACAATCCAAAGGTGAAGTCACAGGGTTTTTTTCCTGTTCTGGATATTTTAGCTGTAGAAGCTGGTCAGCAAGAACTTTATCATCAAGGAAATAGACTCAGAATTTATAATGAAGATGATTAAGCCAGGCTTACTGAGTCATGCACTGAGCTAAACCAGGAGGATGGTAAATGGAAGAAAAGGAAATTACACAACCTGATTAACAAATGGGTTAGCCAAGAAAGTAAGCAGCAAGGTGTCAGCTCAAAGGTAGAGGCTCCCCAAAGCCTGAGGTTGCCCAGGGGAGCTGGGCTGCTCTCACTCCTGCTGATCTGCAGGCAGTCGCCACTCCAGTTTCCCCCAGACAACTCCATCAGTCTGAGGCATGGCCAGGCTGCCAGTTTTCATTTATCTCCTCTGTGGCAGGGGGTGGTGGTAGCCAAGTGATAGGGATGGGAAGCCTCCAC